CAAGAGAAGAATATATGTATAGTATATATTTAAAAAATTATTTTTTTACTCGTCTCTGATTTTTGCGATATTAATTTAGAATAAGCGCAAGAATTCAGAGCGACGTAATGGCCAAATATTAATTTAGAGCAAACATGAGAAATGCACAGAGCAAATGTATATAATTACCAAAAATATTTTTGCGCTTTCATACTTTTCCTACTTTTTTTTTGCTTCCTCTGTAACATCTGTATAGAGATAAAGTCTGTCGTTATTTTCAAAGTTAGTAAATTAGTTTTTATTCTCATAACTTTAATATATTCTTCTCTCGATATATATAGAGTTTCTTCTTAATTACACAAATGTACAAAGTCGTTTTTCCTTGCACACACACGTTGTTTTGCATTTTCAAGTCGGAAATTATGAATATAATTGTGATTTCCTCAAGAAAAAATCCACGTAAGTCGTCGAACTTTTCATGTGCCTGCGAGAGCGAAATATATATCGATGATGTAAATATGCGGAATGACAAAGGAAATAAAGAAGAACGAAGGAATGGAGGTACATTTTTTCCGCTGATATTACCGTACCACTTTTCACTTGCTACCGGATTTCCGAATCGTTCGTTTGCATTCCGCTTTCCTCGGCCGAGAGTCATTCATCAGACGGCGGATGATTAATCAGTCGCGGCTAACCATCACCGCGTGTTGTTAAGGGCCGCATATTTTAACGCCATGTCACGTGTACTATATTACGAGCTCGTCATATGTGATTAATGACGTATCGGCACGTTTGCGAGCGGTTGCGAACGTTTAACGCGCGTCTAAACATCTTAGAACGATCGATTTTCTGGTCTCTCGGCGATGATTTTGATGACTTCCCATACAGCACACAAGTTTGCAGCAATATTGTACATTGCGTAGCAATATTGCAGAAATATTATATAGGCATGAATTTGCAATATAGTTTAAACAACGTTGCAGCAACATTTCAGAAATATTATAAAAATAAAATTCACGCAAAAAATATTAGGTACAGAACATCGATTTTCTGGTCTCTCGGCGATGATTTTGATGACTTCCCATACAGCACACAAGTTTGCAGCAATATTGTACATTGCATAGCAATATTGCAGAAATATTATATAGGCATGAGTTTGCGTTTAAACAACGTTGCAGCAACATTTCAGAAATATTATGAAAATAAAATTCACGCAAAAAATATTAGGTACAGAACATCGATTTTCTGGTCTCTCGACGATGATTTTGATGACTTCCCATACAGCACACAAGTTTGCAACAATATTGTACATTGTATAGCAATATTGCAGAAATATTATATAGGCATGAGTTTGCGATATCGTTTAAACAACGTTGCAGCAACATTTCAGAAATATTATGAAAATAAAATTCACGCAAAAAATATTAGGTACAGAACATCGATTTTCTGGTCTCTCGGCGATGATTTTGATGACTTTCCATACAGCACACAAGTTTGCAGCAATATTGTACATTGCGTAGCAATATTGCAGAAATATTATATAGGCATGAATTTGCAATATAGTTTAAACAACGTTGCAGCAACATTTCAGAAATATTATGAAAATAAAATTCACGCAAAAATATTAGGTACAAAACATCGATTTTCTGGTCTCTCGGCGATGATTTTGATGACTTCCCATACAGCACACAAGTTTGCAGCAATATTGTACATTGCATAGCAATATTGCAGAAATATTATATAGGCATGAATTTGCAATATAGTTTAAACAACGTTGCAGGAACATTTCAGAAATATTATGAAAATAAAATTCACGCCAAAAATATTAGGTACAGAACATTCAGTCCGATCATGTATTTGGCACATTTTCAATAATCCACAATAGTAATATTACATATATATTTCATTGCATTATTGCTGCAATGTTATAGAACAATATTTCTGAAAACGGACATTTTACCGTTGCTGCAACCTTGCAGCAAGATTTCACAATATTTATGCAATGTTGTAATAGTGCAATGAAATGTTGCCACAATGCTGCTGCAATCTTGTTGCGCTGTATGGGTTGCGAGCGATCTTCGAGAAAGAAGAGAAATCTTGAGGGTCGTTGAAAGTACCTTGGAAAAGCTTTCACGGCTTGTTGCTGTCGAAACTATCGCGCCTACATTTTCATGATACATCGCCACTTTGGGCCTCCATCGCTCGAGGAAAGCGAAATAAAATGTCAGCTGTCGCTTCCACTCGAAAAGTGTCGCTTTTCCTCTTCGCATTCTTACTTAAAACGGAAATCTCGAGTGCGCCTCGAGTGTTGTAAAAACTCACTTTCCTTCTAGTAGTGTATTCTAGAAAACTATACGCGAATGTAAATACCGATGAATTATCGATTATATATTTTTCGTTCAAATAATGCGACAATATCCCATCAGTATAATTTTCGACAATGAAAACGATCTTGAGAAATGGCAAAAAATTTTTCATTAAATATTTTGAAAGATAAATTTCAGATTCTTTTTTTCCTTCTTTGCTCCGGAGAACTTAATTTAATTTCAATTATAATTACTGTATAGAGAGTGGATGATGAAAATTTATAACGGAGTAAAGGTTCGACGGAAGAAGCAAATAATTAGTGCCCCCAAAAAAAAGAAGAAATAAATCGCGCGAATAAATATTTTTTGTTGAGAAAAAAGCAGATACTTCCGCTTCCATTTTCCGTGTTTCCTCGTCATTCCTGCGATCCGTTATCGCTTAACACGTCCGCCTTTGACCAGGTTGCCTGTCGCAAAGACAGCTGAGATTGTCATCGATTTATGGGAGAGAGAGCGAGAGAGACTCTCTCTCGAAGAGAGGATCTCGTGCAAGCGACACGGAAATCGGAGCAGAGGGATCGGACACCGGACATACCTAGGCTACAGAGTGAATCCAAAAGCTTGTCGTGGCACGGCAGATCGGCACGTTTTCAAAACAAGGCACGTCCCGGGAGGCACGTCGAATGCATCTGCGCCCATTCGTCACGTCGCGCTATTAACGGCAAATTTAGAATCGGGGATTCTTATGGGATTCCACGCTCTCTTTTTCCTTCCCATACTTTTCCCGTATCTCGTGTAAGTAGTCTGATATATCGCCGGTGTTTTGCCGCGATAAATCTTTGCTCGACGTCACTCTCAGGACTTCCGAAAGATTCTGCAACGTTAATACGATCAGTGTTGTGCTTAGATGATTTAAAAATTAGCTGGATAAATATGAGGTGACAATATGTCAATTCATCTTGGATAAAATGAAGATGATTTTCTTTTAAATATATCTAAATTTATTTATGGCGATTTATCAAGATAATTTTCAGATAATATCATTTTTTAAGACCGCTTGTGTAAACACAGTTATAAGGAAAGATAAATTATAATTAGGATATAAAATTATATTCATATTTTTATTTATAAGTTTTTATCGCTTACTGCTTCATTTCCCCTACTTAAGTATTTTTATGTGCTAACACTCTAAACTTAAATTGACACACATACACACACACACACGTGCAAAAAAACACACACATTCAATCCTTATATAAATTAAAGCTATCTTTTAATGTTAATATATTTGATTCTATTTTATATTTTGTATAATGCAACGTGTTTAAATTGGTTGTATTGGATTTACTTAAATATTTTCTCATTTTTAATTAAATTAATAATTATTTTTTATTTGCCTTCAAAAAATTTAACTTTAATTATTTCTATTTTATATTTATAAATTGAATTTTTAAATATTATTATTATCGTTTTTTTTAGTCATATAAATAACATTTTTATTCAAATTTTTATTTCTTTTCTCATTTTTATTCAAATATTATGATTTTAGAATATAGCACAAAAAATTAATTTGTCTTCTATCTATAAAAAGTTCCATTTTAATTAAATCTAATTTAATTTGATATTTGTCATCTTATCCAAAACTAAAAGTCATTTTACTTGCATATGGTGATAATATGATGCAATAAACTTTATAAAGAAAAAATCTAAACTTTACAAAAAATTCTAATTTTATTTATCAATTACTCAATTTTTCAATTTTAATAAGTAATCAGCAAGATTGTAATGTGTCTGTAAAAACAAATCATTATTTTAAATCATCGCAGAAATTGAGAAAAGTCGATAAATTTGAAAGTCATCGTCTTATCCCTATTTTTTGCTATACTTCTAAGACATATGTAAGATAACAATAAAAGGCAGGTATTTGTTTTCTTTTCAAAGAATTTTACTTTTACCGAAATAATATTAAATCTTCTTTGAAGCTTGATGATCTCTCTCACAAGAATGCGTTGCTTAAGAACACTTTCAAGTTCAAAAAAATATTACTGTTTCCGAGAAAGAAAAATTTCTTTTAAGAAAACACTTCTTTTGACAAACATTTACGTTACACACACATATATAGATATATATTTTAGTAAAACAATTAAATAATCTTAAAATTTAATATGCATTACATCCGAGTTTTAGAGATAAGAAGTGACTAAAAAAGTAATATTGATATTAATTTATTAACACAAATGTTGACATGCGTCTACCGCAAATTAAGAAAATTAATATAATTATAATAAAATTTATTATTTCTCATCTTAATGATAATATATATGAAAAAATTTCTGTATTAATTATTTAACAATATTATTGTTCTCATAGAGTATTGAACGATATTCGTTGAACGGCAAATATATATATAATGTAATTATAAGAGCAACTTTCTAATGTTATTCTCTTAACATAGCAGGTAAAACAACAAATATTCCATTCGACTAGTATTGCCTGATTTACAAAAGAATATCTTTCTGCCTTAAAATCTGTAAAGACCATATATCACTATTGAAATCTTATTATTTTCTCTGTTTTCAAAGCGCATATATATAGAATGGACTTATTGTTAGTGTTTTCTTAGGTTCTAAATTTTCTTTTGTACGCTTTTTGGGACCAGTCACGTGACCAGCGTAGTGGGGAGAAATACATGGCCTTTAGTTTCGCAGGTAAAGATTTCAGAAATAGAATACAGTCAGAGTATGAAAAACGTCTGCAGTGTATAACACGTGGTTATTCTCTTCACGAACAAGTATCGCAGTAGATTCTCGTGTGCTTTTATAAACAAAAATTAATTACGCGCATGCAATTATTTACATTTATTATTTTCTCGTGTTCAACTAAATCCTATTTGTAATGGCTACGATACAGTGCTTACCTGAGGAAATGATAAGTATAATTCTCAGTTATAAAGATATTACTATTGAAGATATTATTAACTTTAGATGTACGTGCAAACAATTTTGTTACGCAGCCAAAAATGACACGTCTATGAAAAAAAAATTTTATCAGAGGTAAGTATTTCACTTTGTTATAAATGTTTCGTAATTTTTTTTTCTTTGGAGTATCGTACAATGTATCGCTGTTGCAAGAAACATATTTTAAAAAATTAACTATATAAAAAAATAATGCAAATCTAATATAATATAACAATCAGATAAAAGACCTCTATTAAATAAAATAAAAACGAATGAGGGATTACTGAGAGACAAAACACAGAAATTCAAATGCATGCGAGCAGTTATATATTCAAAGAATTTCTTCCATTGTTCATATTATATAGTTTTTAATAATAGTAAATTTATGAATACAATTAAACAATAGTAAGATTAAATATTTTCAAATAAAAAATTTTTTGTAAATAATTGCTACAATAATATCCTCAGTTCTACACCTAACTCTCGTTAACCCATTTTCATATCCATGTTATATGATCTAATAGAAAATCTATAATATATAATATAAAACATAATATACATAATATAACGTATAAATAAAACATATATATAAAATAATAAAACGTATAAATGTAATATAATATATAATATTATAATATGCATAAAAAAAACAATAATACGTTAATTATAAAAATTAGAAATGTTATACATATTTTTTTATGTAATTATGCATTATATTTTATTATTTTAATTCTATTAAATTATCCATTTTATTTTATAATTTTATTAACAAATTGATTAATAAATTTGTTGGACTATACTGTTCATTGTCTATACTATTATTGCATGATCTAATAGAAAATCTATAATATATAATATAATACATAATATACATAATATAACGTATATAAATGTAACATATATATAAAATAATAAAACGTATAAATGTAATATAATATATAATATTATAATATGCATAAAAAAACAATAATACGTAAATTATATATATAAAAATTAGAAATGTTATACATATTTTTTTATGTAATTATGCATTATATTTTATTATTTTAATTCTATTAATATATCTATTTTATTTTATAATTTTATTAACAAATTGATTAATAAATTTGTTGAACTATACTGTTCAAAAATATTAAAAAAAAAATTAAATAAAAAGATATGCATTTTAAAATATATAGCTCTGAAATGTTATTACTGATGCAATAACATTGTTTAGTATAATTTTCACTTAAATTATTTCTTGTTCCAATTTTAGATGGTCCTCTGCAAAAAATTTTATGACAATTTGTTTAAGATAAATAAACAGAAAGAATCTGAAGAATATGAACAAATAAGAAAGAAGTTTAAAAAAAATTCAAATTTTATAGAAATAAGCATAGATATTGTGGCACAATTACGAATGTACATGTCTGATATCAGATATAAAAATTGTGATTACTTTAACTCAATCAATAATAAAATTTCTTTTAAAGATATGATTTATGATCATAAGACAAATTATGTTTTTATATATACCATAGTTAATGAACCTGAAAATTTCATGAAATATTTGGTTTTCATTGATGAGATTGAAAACTCGCTTACACAATCTCCACGGTAAAATCCTCAATATAAGTTAGAATGTTATTAACTTCTATATAGATTAATGTTCTTATTGTTAATACATACATTTTCAGGAGAACTGGTTGCTATTTAACCGAAAGATATTGTTATGAAAAAATATTAGACAAAATAAAGATACAATCTCTAATGAAAGAATGGGATGAGTTATTAAAACTATCTATAGAGAATATGGTTTTGGAATGGGGTGCTACTTTTGCGGCCCAATCTATTCAACTCAGAAAGAATGTATCTTATTCGGACATACAAGCATCGCTAAATAATATCGCATTAGAGGTACAGAATTACCTCAAAGAAAAACATCCCGAGCATTCGATATTCGGGACGTCCGCTGAAACATTGTCTTATTGGAAAAACAATAATATCTGGGAGACTCACTGGAACGAACCAGAAGGAATACAGATTATTGATACATTGAATGAATATATATTTGACAAATTAAATTTTCGATTTTGCAACCCAGAAGACACAAATTTAGAATACATGTGCATAGATAATGTAAGTTATACATTATAATATATTATATTATAATTATGTACCTAACAAATATAATTGTACTGTGAGCATTGTCATATGCTTGTCATATCTAGAAAATATGTACTATAGCTTTCATTAATTTATTGTAATTTTTGCCACAGGTATTGAAAACTAAATATGGCCAAAAAATAATTTTATTAACAATATATCACGGCGTGGCCAGAAGACTTGGTCTATATTGCAATGTAATAGTAGAAACAGAGGACACCTATAATGGACCTTCTCTAGGCTATAGATACTTTACTTATTGTTATGAAAATCATATATTTAATTTAAAACCTAATTTACCTACTAATTTACCTACTTTTCCTATGTATTGCATACGTTGGGTACCAAGATAGTAAGTACAAAATTTAATTTGGAACTATTCAAATATTAAAAGGTATTTTTACTTTCATATTACACAGACACGTACACGTAAATAATTATTTTTTTATTCAAAGTGCTACGGATGAATCAGAAACTGAAAGATGTTTAAACATAATTTCTAAAAAATTCCCGTATTGTCTTGTCTACAAACGATTCCGACGCTATGAGTTGTTGATTCATTCATCAGAAATTATATATCAAAATTATGACATAATATGTTTTGAAACGGTTGGTAATTACTTATATATGATTTCTATTGATTTTAACATTAATAAATATAACTATAATTTTGGCATAATTAAACTAATGAATTAATGAAACTTATTTTATAGGCAGAAAAAATGGTATAATATGTCTTTTTTATTACAATCAAAACTGTTTTTAATCTTCTCTATTTGCTCATATATTTATTCTAATTTTTAGATACGAGAAGAAATAATGATGGGAGCTGTGGATTTGACATGTAACTTTAACAACAGTTTTCAGATTAATAAGCGTAAATCTGCTCCCTATTTGAAATATATAATTGTATGTGAGCACAGTATACATGCAGCATATTATCAGATATAATAATGATGAAAATATCTTTATAAATTTGCTTTTTGAAGTACAACTATACAGCTATATATGAATTATAATTATCTATAATTTAATTAATTTTAATATAATTTGCTATAAGAGTCTATTTAAAACTTAAAAGACAAGAAAGATAAATTGAAGTTTAATCTAACATTTTTCAGCCCAAAATTTCCACTGAAAAAAGAGTGTTTATTACAAGATCAGACGATGTAAAATTTGCAATAGGAATGATCGTAACACATCATAATATGTGTGAAGATAATTGTACTGGAGTTATTATTGGATGGGAACAACATACAAACACATATGTTAAATTCGACGAAGAAACGAGATGTAATGAAATATATGCAGAACTAGATATCTTGCCACTGAATCACTGTTACAATCAACAGTTTAGAGATCACGAACAAACCAATTACATTATTCTTACCGATAACAATAAAATCTGTTATGTCAATGAAGGTATGAATATCATCAGTGCATTTTTATTTAAAATTATAATTCTTTATTCTACGATTTGTACGCAATGTAAAATAATAGTTTATTTTATTTTGATTTATTTTGTTTCTTTTTTATCATTTAATTATTTTGTTTCTTTCAATTGTGATATATTTTATTTATTATTTCGTTTATTATTTAGTTTATTTTATTTAACATACAGTTGTTTTTATTTTAGGTTCTATAAGTTTGACAACGCCGAGATGGATTAATAATAGTGAAATAGGTCGCTACTTTTGTAAATTCGAAAACACACATTACGTACCAAATGAAACGCTGGCAACAGATTTCTCGCTGGATATTCCCATATTAACCGCCCAGAGTACTTAAACAACAATATCTGTAAGTTAATAATATAAATTACATTATGCAGTAGGGCGAAGGGACAAAATATTTATGAAATTTTATATCATACATAGTAAAAGACCAAATATTGTACTCTAAACTGACATAATTATAATGTAAATACTGTCACTAGCTCTATATGAAATTACAGTAATAATACATCGTAATATTTGTTTCATTTTACAGGGCGCCTAGAGATTGTGTAACAGTGAACTGCTTTTTTTCGCCTGACACTTTTTGGTCGATCTTTTTAATTAATTTCTTCTTAATAATTATAAAATTCGCGAAATTGTGGAAAACGTTCCGATCCGATTTAAATCACTGTATTTGTACCCAAGAGATAATGCGATTATTACATATAATACACGATATGTATAAAATGTAACGTTTAAACCAGTGGTTCTTAACCTTTTTGAAGTTACGGAACATTTTTGATTAGAAGAAAAATTTGCGGAACACCAAAATTTCTATGATTATAAACAAAATTAATAACATAAATATGCATGAATATATTTTTATTAAAAATTATACAGTACAAATTATGTAACAGTAAAAAATTGAAATTGAAATTGAAATTTAAAAAAGAATATTCATAAAATGAAAAATTTTTATTTCAGCCGTAGATATCGATAATACATGTTTTTATTATCTATATACCCATACAGCACAGATTATTGCAATTATATTGCAGCAAAGTTGCAATGTTGCAAGTTGCAATGCAACATTATAAAGACATTGCAGAGATATAAGTGCACAAAATTCCAGCACACTTGTAGCAACATGACATTAATATTTCGGAAATATTGCATGTAATCCAAATTCTATAATTTATATATTGTAATATATATGAATTAACTACAAACGTATTTTCATTAATGATTTATTTACATTTATATACCTGTATATGCAACATTAGTTTATGGTTGCAATAACAATGCATTATTGCAAACTCATAACATCTTGCAATATTGTTGTAATATTTTGTTGCAATCTTCCAAAAGCGGACATTTTAACATGCTGCAATTCAACAGCAATGATGTAGCAACATTTTGCAGTGAATTTGCAATATTGCAATATTGCGGTGAAAGATTGTTGTAATGTTTTTGCAATCTTTCGGTGCTGTATGGGTAAAGATAAGATGGCGCCAAAATACATCTAGATCAATGATCATCTATATAATTTTATTTGACAACAGCAAACACTGGTTGCGGTATTTCAAGTAGTAAATGTCACTGTTAACAATTCTTTCAGTACTAGATATGTGTGTGTTGATAAGAGCTTTAAAAATGTAGGATATGAGGAATTTAATCATTGTTTTAGTCAAAATTTTGTAATCACCATTATTTTTTGCCTCTCTTACGAGTTGAAAATTTTGTTTACTACGTAACATGAAACAGCTCTTTTTATAAAACAAAATTTTTAAAATTTCTTCAAAGTTCTTGAGAAACTAGCTTGTAACAGAGTTAGTGAAACGGGCTTCCACAAGGTCCTGTGATGTTACAGTATTTCACGTCACTGTAACCGTCGATGTATACATTATTAAAAATGCTTCTAGTGAAGGATATTCAAATTAATAAAAACTTTAAAAATGTTAAAAAGAATAAGGAATTGAATCACGGTTTTATTTAAAATTTTGTAATTATGCTCTTCTTTCATCCCTCTTACAACGAGTTAAAATTTTGTTTGCTACATAATATGAAGGAGCTCTTTTTATAAGAGATACAGTTATTATTAAAAATTTTTTTAAATGTATAGGATATAAGGAATTTAATCACTGTTTTATTTAAATTTTTGTAATCGGCCTTCTTTTGCCCCTTACAATGAATTTAAAAATAGTTGAAAAGAGCTCTTTTTATTCGACAAAATTAAAAAAAATGTTTCAAAATACTAGTATGTAAAGCGAAATTAATGAAAGCACCGGATGTCTTTTTTAGTAGATTTGGTCCAGCTTATTTGAACATTTCAACATAATACACGCGTTTGAAGCGGCACGCATATTAACGGCAAATTTAGAATCGGGGATTCTTATGGGATTCCACGCTCTCTTTTTCCTTCCCCATACTTTTCCCGTATCTCGTGTAAGTAGTCTGATATATCGCCGGTGTTTTGCCGCGATAAATCTTTGCTCGACGTCACTCTCAGGACTTCCGAAAGATTCTGCAACGTTAATACGATCAATGTTGTGCTTAGATGATTTAAAAATTAGCTGGATAAAGATGAGGTGACAATATGTCAATTCATCTTGGATAAATGAAGATGATTTTCTTTTAAATATATCTAAATTTATTTATGGCGATTCATCAAGATAATTTTCAGATAATATCATTTTTTAAGACCGCTTGTGTAAACACAGTTATAAGAAAAGATAAATTATAATTAGGATATAAAATTATATTCATATTTTTATTTATAAGTTTTTATCGCTTACTGCTTCATTTCCTCTACTTAAGTATTTTTATGTGCTAACACTCTAAACTTAAATTGATACACATACACGTGCAAAAAACACACACATTCAATCCTTATATAAATTAAAGCTATCTTTTAATGTTAATATATTTGATTCTATTTTATATTTTGTATAATGCAACGTGTTTAAATTGGTTGTATTGGATTTACTTAAATATTTTCTCAATTTTTAATTAAATTAATAATTATTTTTTATTTGCCTTCAAAAAATTTAACTTTAATTATTTCTATTTTATATTTATAAATTGAATTTTTAAATATTTTATTATTATCGTTTTTTTTTAGTCATATAAATAACATTTTTTATTCAAATTTTTATTTCTTTTCTCATTTTATTCAAATATTATGATTTTAGAATATAGCACAAAAAATTAATTTGTTTTCTATCTATAAAAAGTTCCATTTTAATTAAATCTAATTTAATTTGATATTTGTCATCTTATCCAAAACTAAAAGTCATTTTACTTGCATATGGTGATAATATGATGCAATAAACTTTATAAAGAAAAAATCTAAACTTTACAAAAAATTCTAATTTTATTTATCAATTACTCAATTTTCAATTTTAATAAGTAATCAGCAAGATTGTAATGTGTCTGTAAAAACAAATCATTATTTTAAATCATCGCAGAAATTGAGAAAAGTCGATAAATTTGAAAGTCATCGTCTTATCCCTATTTTTTGCTATACTTCTAACAATAAGACATATGTAAGATAACAATAAAAGGCAGGTATTTGTTTTCTTTTCAAAGAATTTTACTTTTACCGAAATAATATTAAATCTTCTTTGAAGCTTGATGATCTCTCTCACAAGAATGCGTTGCTTAAGAACACTTTCAAGTTCAAAAAAATATTACTGTTTCCGAGAAAGAAAAATTTCTTTTAAGAAAACACTTCTTTTGACAAACATTTACGTTACACACACATATATAGATATATTTTAGTAAAACAATTAAATAATCTTAAAATTTAATATGCATTACATCCGAGTTTTAGAGATAAGAAGTGACTAAAAAAGTAATATTGATATTAATTTATTAACACAAATGTTGACATGCGTCTACCGCAAATTAAGAAAATTAATATAATTATAATAAAATTTATTATTTCTCATCTTAATAATAATATATATGAAAAAATTTTTGTATTAATTATTTAACAATATTATTGTTCTCATAGAGTATTGAACGATATTCGTTGAACGGCAAATATATATATAATGTAATTATAAGAGCAACTTTCTAATGTTATTCTCTTAACATAGCAGGTAAAGCAACAAATATTCCATTCGACTAGTATTGCCTGATTTACAAAAGAATATCTTTCTGCCTTAAAATCTGTAAAGACCATATATCACTATTGAAATCTTATTATTTTCTCTGTTTTCAAAGCGCATATATATAGAATGGACTTATTGTTAGTGTTTTCTTAGGTTCTAAATTTTCTTTTGTACGCTTTTGGGACCAGTCACGTGACCAGCGTAGTGGGGAGAAATACATGGCCTTTAGTTTCGCAGGTAAAGATTTCAGAAATAGAATACAGTCAGAGTATGAAAAACGTCTGCAGTGTATAACACGTGGTTATTCTCTTCACGAACAAGTATCGCAGTAGATTCTCGTGTGCTTTTATAAACAAAAATTAATTACGCGCATGCAATTATTTACATTTATTATTTTCTCGTGTTCAACTAAATCCTATTTGTAATGGCTACGATACAGTGCTTACCTGAGGAAATAATAAGTATAATTCTCAGCTATAAAGATATTACTATTGAAGATATTATTAACTTTAGATGTACGTGCAAACAATTTTGTTACGCAGCCAAAAATGACACGTCTATGAAAAAAAATTTTATCAGAGGTAAGTATTTCACTTTGTTTATAAATGTTTCGTAATTTTTTTTTCTTTGGAGTATCGTACAATGTATCGCTGTTGCAAGAAACATATTTTAAAAAATTAACTATATAAAAAAATAATGCAAATCTAATATAATATAACAATCAGATAAAAGACCTCTATTAAATAAAATAAAAACGAATGAGGGATTACTGAGAGACAAAACACAGAAATTCAAATGCATGCGAGCAGTTATATATTCAAAGAATTTTCTTCCATTGTTCATATTATATAGTTTTAATAATAGTAAATTTATGAATACAATTAAACAATAGTAAGATTAAATATTTTCAAATAAAAAATTTTTTGAAAATAATTGCTACAATAATATCCTCAGTTCTACACCCTAACTCTCGTTAATCCATTTTCATATCCATGTTATATGATCTAATAGAAAATCTATAATATATAATATAAAACATAATATACATAATATAACGTAAATAAAACATATATATAAAATAATAAAACGTATAAATGTAATATAATATATAATATTATAATATGCATAAAAAAACAATAATACGTAAATTATAAAAATTAGAAATGTTATACATATTTTTTATGTAATTATGCATTATATTTTATTATTTTAATTCTATTAAATTATCCATTTTATTTTATAATTTTATTAACAAATTGATTAATAAATTTGTTGGACTATACTGTTTATTGTCTATACTATTATTGCATGATCTAATAGAAAATCTATAATATATAATATAATACATAATATACATAATATAACGTATATAAATGTAACATATATATAAAATAATAAAACGAATAAATGTAATATAATATATAATATTATAATATGCATAAAAAAAACAATAATACGTAAATTATATATATAAAATTAGAAATGTTATACATATTTTTATGTAATTATGCATTATATTTTATTATTTTAATTCGATTAATATATCTATTTTATTTTATAATTTATTAACAAATTGATTAATAAATTTGTTGAACTATACTGTTCAAAAATATAAAAAAATTATTAAATAAAAAGATATGCATTTTAAAAATATATTGCTCTGAAATGCCATTACTGATGCAATAACATTGTTTAATATAATTTTCACTTAAATTATTTCTTGTTCCAATTTAGATGGTCCTCTGCAAAAAATTTTATGACAATTTGTTTAAGATAAATAAACAGAAAGAATCTGAAGAATATGAACAAAAAAGAAAGAAGTTTAAAAAAAATTCAAATTTTATAGAAATGAGCATAGATATTGTGGCACAATTACGAATGTACATGTCTGATATCAGATATAAAAATTGTGATTACTTTAACTCAATCAATAATAAAATTTCTTTTAAAGATATGGTTTATGATCATAAGACAAATTATGTTTTTCTATTTACCATAGTTAATAAACCTGAAAATTTCATGAAATATTTGGTTTTCATTGATGAGATTGAAAACTTGATTACACAATCTCCACGGTAAAATCCTCAATATAAGTTAGAATGTTATTAACTTCTATATAGATTAATGTTCTTATTGTTAATACATACATTTTTCAGGAGAACTGGTTGCGATTTAACCGAAAGATATTGTTATGAAAAAATATTAGACAATATGAAGATGCATTCTCTAATAAAAGAATGGAATGTGTTTCGACAACTACCTCAGAGGGAGCAAGTTTTGGAATGGGGTGCTACTCTTGCGGCCCAATCTATTCAACTCAGAAAGAATGTATCTTATTCGGACATACAAGCATCGCTAAATAATATCGCACTAGAGGTACAGAATTACCTCAAAGAAAAACATCCCGAGCATTCGATATTCGGAATGTCCGCTGAAACTTTGTCTTATTGGACGAACAATAATATCGACGATAATCACTGGAGTGAAACAGAAGGAATACAGATTATTGATACATTGAATGAATATATATTTGACAAATTAAATTTTCGATTTTGCAACCCAGAAGACACAAATTTAGAATACATGTGCATAGATAATGTAAGTTATACATTATAATATATTATATTATAATTATGTACCTAACAAATATAATTGTACTGTGAGCATTGTCATATGCTTGTCATATCTAGAAAATATGTACTATAGCTTTCATTAATTTATTGTAATTTTTGCCACAGGTATTGAAAACTAAATATGGCCAAAAAATAATTTTATTAACAATATATCACAGCGTGGCCAGAAGACTTGGTCTACGTTGCGATGTAATAGTAGAAACAGAAGAGTACACTTATGATAAACCTTTTCTAGGCTATAGATACTTTACTTATTGTTATGAAAATAATACATTTAATTTAAAACCTAATTTTCCTACTAATTTACCTACTTTTCCTATGTATTCCATACGTTGGGAACCAAGATAGTAAGTACAAAATTTAATTTGGAACTATTCAAATATTAAAAGGTATTTTTACTTTCATATTACACAGACACGTACACGTAAATAATTATTTTTTTATTCAAAGTGCTACGGATGGATCAGAAAATGAAAGATGTTTCGACATAATTTCTAAAAAATTCCCGTATTGTCTTGTCTACAAACGATTCGGACGCTATGAGTTGTTGATTCATTCATCAGAAATTATATATCAAAATTATGACATAATATGTTTTGAAACGGTTGGTAATTACTTATATATGATTTCTATTGATTTTAACATTAATAAATATAACTATAATTTTGGCATAATTAAACTAATGAATTAATGAAACTTATTTTATAGGCAGAAAAAATGGTATAATATGTCTTTTTTATTACAATCAAAACTGTTTTTAATCTTCTCTATTTGCTCATATATTTATTCTAATTTTTAGACACGAGAAGAAATAATGATGGGAGCTGTGGATTTGACATGTAACTTTAACAACAGTTTTCAGATTAATAAGCGTAAATCTGATCCCTATTTGAAATATATATTGTATGTGAGCACAGTATACATGCAGCATATTATCAGATATAATAATGATGAAAATATCTTTATAAATTTGCTTTTTGAAGTACAACTATACAGCTATATATGAATTATAATTATCTATAATTTAATTAATTTTAATATAATTTGCTATAAGAGTCTATTTAAAACTTAAAAGACAAGAAAGATAAATTGAAGTTTAATCTAACATTTTTCAGTCCAAAATTTCCACTAAAAAAAGAGTGTTTATTACAAGATCAGACGATGTAAAATTTGCAATAGGAACGATCGTAACACATCATAATATGTGTGAAGATAATTGTACTGGAGTTATTATTGGATGGGAACAACATACAAACAAATATGTTAAATTCAAAGAAGAAACGAGAGATAAAATATATGCAGAACTAGATATCTTGCCACTGAATCACTGTTACAATCAACAGTTTAGAGATCACGAACAAACCAATTACATTATTCTTACCGATAACAATAAAATCTGTTATGTGAATGAAGGTATGAATATCATCAGTGCATTTTTATTTAAAATTATAATTCTTTATTCTACGATAATGATTCTTATTTTGTACGCAATGTAAAATAATAGTTTATTTTATTTTGTTTCTTTTTTATAATTTAGTTATTTTGTTTATTTCAATTGTGATATATTTAATTTATTATTTCGTTTATTATTTAGTTTATTTTACTTATCATATATTTGTTTTTTAATAGCATATTTTTAAATTTTAGATTCTATAACTTTAACAACGCCGAAATGGATCGATAATAGCGAAATAGGTCGTTATTTTTGCAAATTCGAACACACGCATTACATACCAAATGAAGGGCTGGCAAGAATCTATCCGCAGGACGCTACTATAGTAGCCTAGAGAACAATATCTGTAAATTAATAATATAAATTACATATTATACAATATTTAGAACAAAACTCGCTATTAAGAAATATTATATTTTAAACTGATATAAATTATATATTGTGAATACTGTCACTGAGTCTATAAAATCACAGTAATATGTAATATCTCGTAATGTTCGATTGTATCTTTTTGCAGGACTTTTAGCGACCATTTAACAGTGGACTGCCTCTTCTCATCGCGCGTTTGTAATTCATCTTTCATTAATTATTGCGCAGATTGCAAAACAATGAAAAAATAGAAATAATAATAAAACAAGCTAATAAGAGCCACACGATAGAAAACGAATATGAAATAATAAAAAGAATTTAATTAATATTTAGATGTAAAAATTAATTAAATAAATAGCACTTTCATACTTGATTTAATGGTTCCGCACACGATGATTCCTGTTTCTGCACATGAAAGATTCGACGATTATCATTAGATACATAGTAATAGTTCTAAATGTCACAAAAAGTACATCATATAAATTGGTATACACAATGCAACATAAAAATCTCATCTAGAAATATAAATGCAACACATCAGTCGCGCGTTTATGCTTACTATGAGATTTTTCATACTTTAAGTTAAATACAGATATCTTTGTTGATTTGAATATTAATAAACATACTTATTTTAATCTGTGTATCGTAAAATTTCACAATCGCCACTGCATGGATTATTACAGTTACTTTTTTAGCTAATATTTTCCTATTAATAAATATTTTGCGAGCATTTGGCTAAAATCGTAGAATCTTTTTAATGTATATTTTACTTTACCTGTAATAATTATTCTAATTAGTTCCAAAAAGCTAATTATATATATATATATACCTTTTTTACAATTTAAAATTTTATTTTCTTTGTAGTACAAATTCCTCAAAAATTGAAATTCGTACCATTCTATAAACCGTACAAGGCCCCACCAGCGGCACCCGTTGTGAAAGAACACCGGAAGTGATCGAAGCAGAGATGAAAGCTATGGAGACTGCAATGGAGGCATTAGTTCTGGTAACTTTAAGTACGCTCTAACATAATTTATAAAACAAAATTATTATCTTCTCTTAAAAGAAAATTTTTTCATAAGTTAATGAATTTCTCTAATCTTATTCTTACAAGTAAGAATTTAGAAATATTGTATAATGCAATAATATAAATGTTGATATAGATGGTTCACTTAAAAAAAATTAAGGACCGGTGCAATAATGACTATAGATACAATAAAATCTTTTTTATGGTAGATCACTTAATTTTCTAAAAAAAAATTATAAAAACGAATTTAAATAAAATTAAACTGGTAATATACGTGTTCTTTTCTTTCCAGACTTCCCAGTTCTATTATTTGGTTTGAACCACCATTAATGTAAAATTGCAATAGGAACGATCGTAACACATCATAATATGTGTGAAGATAATTGTACTGGAGTTATTATTGGATGGGAACAACATACAAACAAATATGTTAAATTCAAAGAAGAAACGAGAGATAAAATATATGCAGAACTAGATATCTTGCCACTGAATCACGTTACAATAACAGTTTAGAGATCACGAACAAACCAATTACATTATTCTTACCGATAACAATAAAATCTGTTATGTGAATGAAGGTATGAATATCATCAGTGCATTTTTATTTAAAATATAATTCTTTATTTTACGATTTGTACGCAATGTAAAATAATATTTATTTTATTTTGATTTATTTTGTTTCTTTTTTATCATTTAATTATTTTGTTTCTTTCAATTGTGATATATTTTATTTATTATTTCGTTTATTATTTAGTTTATTTTATTTAACATACAGTTGTTTTTATTTTAGGTTCTATAAGTTTGACAACGCCGAGATGGATTAATAATAGTGAAATAGGTCGCTACTTTCGAAATTCGAAAACATACATTACGTACCAATAAAACGCTGGCAACAGATTTCTCGCTGGATATTCCCATATTAACCGCCCAGAGTACTTAAACAACAATATCTGTAAGTTAATAATATAAATTACATTATGCAGTAGGGCGAAGGGACAAAATATTTATGAAATTTTATATCATACATAGTAAAAGACCAAATATTGTACTCTAAACTGACATAATTATAATGTAAATACTGTCACTAGCTCTATATGAAATTACAGTAATAATACATCGTAATATTTGTTTCATTTTACAGGGCGCCTAGAGATTGTGTAACAGTGAACTGCTTTTTTTCGCCTGACACTTTTTGGTCGATCTTTTTAATTAATTTCTTCTTAATAATTATAAAATTCGCGAAATTGTGGAAAACGTTCCGATCCGATTAAATCACTGTATTTGTACCCAGAGATAATGCGATTATTACATATAATACACGATATGTATAAAATGTAACGTTTAAACCAGTGGTTCTTAACCTTTTTGAAGTTACGGAACATTTTTGATTAGAAGAAAAATTTGCGGAACACCAAAATTTCTATGATTATAAACAAAATTAATAACATAAATATGCATGAATATATTTTTTATTAAAAATATACAGTACAAATTATGTAACAGTAAAAAATTGAAATTGAAATTGAAATTTAAAAAAGAATATTCATAAAATGAAAAATTTTTATTTCAGCCGTAGATATCGATAATACATGTTTTTATTATCTATATAAAGATAAGATGGCGCCAAAATTTCATCTAGATCAATGATCATCTATATAATTTTATTTGACAACAGCAAACACTGGTTGCGGTATTTCAAATAGTAAATGTCACTGTTAACAATTCTTTCAGTACTAGATATGTGTGTGTTGATAAGAGCTTTAAAAATGTAGGATATGAGGAATTAATCATTGTTTTAGTCAAAATTTTGTAATCACCATTATTCTTTTGCCTCTCTTACGAGTTGAAAATTTTGTTTACTACGTAACATGAAACAGCTCTTTTTATAAAAACAAATTTTTAAAATTTCTTCAAAGTTCTTGAGAAACTAGCTTGTAACAGAGTTAGTGAAACGGGCTTCCACAAGGTCCTGTGATGTTACAGTATTTCACGTCACTGTAACCGTCGATGTATACATTATTAAAAATGCTTCTAGTGAAGGATATTCAAATTAATAAAAACTTTAAAAATGTTAAAAGAATAAGGAATTGAATCACGGTTTTATTTAAAATTTGTAATTATGCTCTTCTTTCATCCCTCTTACAACGAGTTAAAATTTTGTTTGCTACATAATATGAAGGAGCTCTTTTTATAAGAGATACAGTTATTATTAAAAATTTTTTAAATGTATAGGATATAAGAATTTAATCACTGTTTTATTTAAATTTTTGTAATCGGCCTTCTTTTGCCCCTTACAATGAATTTAAAAATAGTTGAAAGAGCTCTTTTATTCGACAAAATTAAAAAAAAATGTTT